TACCCTGACTGGGAATTGAACTATGACCTCCTGGTTCATGGGTTGAAGCTCAACCACTGAGCAACACCGGCCGGGTAAATTATCCTCATTTAAAAAAATTTTTTAATGTTTTTATTGATTTTAGAGAGAGAGAAAGGGAGGAGAGAGAGAGAGAAAGAAATGTCGATGTGAGGGAGGAACATCAGTTGGCTGTTTCCTGCATGCACCCTGACCAGGGATTGAGCCCACAACCTGGGCATGTGCCCTGACCAGGAATTGAACCAGCAACATTTTGGTGCCCGGGATGACGCTCACCACCTGAGCCACACTGGCCAGGGCTAAACTATCCTCATCGTTTTTTGTGTTAATCTTTACCTGAGGATATTTTTTCTATTGATTTTTAGAGACAATGAAAGGGAGGGAAGGAGGAGAGAGAGAGAGAAACATCGATATGAGAGAGACACAACGATTGGCTGTTTCCTGCATGCATCCTAACTGGGACCAGAGATTGACCCTGCAACCCAGGTCCATGCCCTTGACTGGGAATCGCAGCCATGATCCTTTGATGTGTGGGCTGATGCTCTAACCACTGAGCTACACCGGTCAGGGCTAAGCTATCCTCATTTTTAAAATTCTTTTTTCCTTTTGCTCTTCTGATTGGGTGTTTTCTGCTACCTCGTCTTCCAAATCACTAATATGATCCCCTCCTTCATCAAATCAGCTGTTGATTCCTTCTAGTGTATTCTTCATTTCAGTACAATAGTTCTTTTTCATAGTTTCCGTGTCCTTTTTTGTGTTTACTATCTCTTTGTTGAAGTTCTCACTGAGTTCATCTATTTCCTCCTTTAAGTTCGTTGAACGATCTTGTAGTCAGTGTTTCGAACTCTGTGCATTTGATGGATTACTTGTCTCCATTTTGTTTAGCTCTTTTTCTGGAATTTTGTCCTGTTATTTAACTTGGGACATGTTTCTTTGTCTCTCATTTTGGCTGTCTCTCTGTGTTTGTTTCTGTGTATTAACTAGATCTGCTACATTTCCCAATCTTGTCATGGTGGTCTTATGTAGGTGTCCCGTGAGGCCCCGTGGTACAGTCTCCCTGGTCGCCTGGGCTGGGCTCTCCAGAGGTGAACATTATGTGGGTTGCGTGTACCCTCCTGCTGCAGTTGAGCCTTGGTTGCTATTGGCACATCAGTGGGTGCGGCTGACTCTCAGACTGACTGGCTATGAGGACTGGCAACGACCACAGCAGACAAACTGCTGTACGGGCGCCGACCCAACAGAGTGGGATTTGCCCCAGCAGGCTCTGATGCCTGGCAAGATCACCCTTTGGGTGTGCCATTTGTGGAGCTAATCGGGTGGTGCTATGTTATGGTCAGAACCTGGCCACCAGGTGTGTTGGTTCTGGGGCCCATTGGGAGGCACTCCAGCGCAGGCCAAGGTCCGCTGCTGCTTGTGCCCACCCTGGGCCATCTGGTAGGAGCTACAAAGCTATCCGCAGTTGGTAGCTGCCTGTGTTGGGCCCAGAAGCATGTGGGAGAGGCCATGCTGACACCAGTGGCAGCCGGGGGCCACACAGCAAAAGGCACAGGGCACATCACGGCCTGCTGCAGCCTTCCTGGGTCCTGCTGACCTCTGAGAGTTTTTAGGAATGTCCAGCATGAGCTGCGGCCAGCTGCCTGTGAGGAACAGCTGCTGGAAGAGCCTTGGACAGCGCATGAGTTGGGTGGAGTGGGGTCTCGGAGACACCAGGGTAGGGTAAGTGGTATTTACCATGTTAACGCAGATTCAAATTTGGTGCTTGCCTGCACCTGCACATGCAAGCCGTGTGGGGGGAGAACTCAGCACCGGAACAGTGTCAGCTGCCCCTTCAGCCCTACCTCTGAAGCCACAATTCTACTTCTCCCCACATGTCCCTCATGCCTTTCAAGCTGCCAAGGGACAGTTTTTCATTGAACAGGATGGTCTGATACTGTGTAAGGTAACTGATATTTCTGGGTTCACTCATTAAATGCCAATAGGTCCTCCATCACTGTGACCAAAGAAATGCTCCTACAAAATCACAAAACACTTAGCCATTGAGAGCCACAGGTTTGAGGCCATAGATTTAGAGCATGAAGTTCAGTTCAGCAACTGGGGAGGGACCATCAGAGAAATGGGAGGTGAAAAGATTACTCAGGGCTCAGTGAAGGTCAGCTTACGTGGAGGAAAAAAGTGCTGTAGTGGGGAAAGTGGGGGCTTCCAGGCACTGGTGTGCTTGATTCCATGAAGATTTGTTAAATGGCTAGGTGAGCAAATGAGTGAGTGGATGCTGCAGGTAAGGAGGAACTATTGTCTTTTACATTTTATTAAGTAATAAAGTTACATGGCTTACATTTTAAAAATAATTTTCTATTCAGTCCTGGTCCCATATAGGAAATCATTCTTATTAGATTCTTATCTATCTTCTAGAGTTTCTTTGTGCATAGAAAAGCAAATATCCATATCTGCTCTTCTGCCTGTCTTGTTTATACTCAGGAGGTAACATATTACATACAGTGCTCTGCTCTTCACTTAATGTATCTAGGAGCTCGCTCCTAGCAGTGCATAGAGCACTTCTGTGTTGTTGTCAACAGATGTCTAGCTTTCCACTGTGTGGCTATACTGTAGTTCCTTTATTTTTTATTTTTTAAAAAATATATCTTTATTGATTTCAGAGGGAGGAAGGGAGAGTTGAAACATCAATGATGAGAGAGTCATTGATGGGCTGCGTCCTTCACACCCTCGACTGGGGATCGAGCCCGCAGCCCTGGCCTGTGCCCTGACCATGAATAGAACCACGATCTCCTGGATCCTAGGTCAATGCTCAACTGCTGAGCCACGACGTCCAGCGGGGCTATACTATAGTTCCTTTAATTGCTCTCCTACTGATGGGGATTTAAGTTGTCTTCTATCCTTCAGAATTATAAACAGTGCCTCAATGCTAACCTTTACATGTGTGTCACTTAGCACATGTGTTTTATAGTGAAGGTTTTTGAGGAAAGACAAGACAAAAGAAAGATGGTCCTTTGTGAAGATTTAACAACTCCTGTGCAAGATGGATCTGGGAGTGGGAATATATGACATGGAGGAGTTGGGGGGGGGGGAACCACAGCACCGAGCTGACCACTGAGGAACTCCAAGGCCCTCAGAGGCGGCGGCAGCCAGCAGCCAGCAGCCGAGGACCTCTCTTCAGGGGACGCGGAGGGCAGGGAGGATGTTCCTCCTTCACTGACCAAGGAAATGCTTGGGAAATGGGGAGAAATGCAAAGTTTT